CAGACTCCCCCAACCTGCCAACATCTCCATATGTCCCCCACACAGCCATCTTAGTGACAGGAGCCCAGCTCTGTGGGACAGCTGTAAATTTAGACCAGATCAAAGACACCGCGTGCAAGTCTCTGCTCGGTTTAGGAGAGGATAGAAAGGCCCAGGGAACACCTCCAACCAAGAGCAAGACTTCGCCGGACCGGAAGTCTGGCAAAACGAAATCACTCAATGAGTCCGCACTCTCTCCAGATCAGTCCGGTGCAGCAGTCCTGGCAGAATGGGCTAGCATCAGATCAAAGATATTCAAGGGGGTAGAGGAGGGGAAATACGATGAGTACCCAGACCCGAGCAGGAACCAGCCTCAGCCCAGCAGTGAAGACCAGCCTGCATTCTCGCACTCGAACCTCAGGAAGACCATGTCTGCCAGCGCCAAGTTCTCCATCACCCCTGCGAAGAAGAAGTTTGGAGATTCAAACAGGAACTCTGAGGTGTTCGGTGCAGATGATAAGGAAGCAGGAGAGGAAGCAACTCCGTCTGATAGCCCCACAGCAGCCTCCCCAGCTCCAACAAGTAAACCTCAGAACAGGACTAGCAAAACGGTCCGCATTGTAGAAAGAGGGTCAGAGGAATGTATGTTTGCCAAAGACCTCCCCTCTTTCCTGGTTCCCAGCCCTGGAACCAAATCTGAGGGGCCGGAGATGAAGAGTAGGGCACAGAGTGAGACAGAGGTGTGTGAAAGTAGAGAAGAGGGAGAGGACCAAGGCCAGTACGGTGAGGACAAGCCCTCACCTTTTGGAATTAAACTGAGGAGGACCAACTACTCCCTCCGCTTTCACAGCGAACAGTCCACTGAAAAAAGGAAGAAACGATACAGTGCTGGGGACAGCTTTGACGGCGTCCCTTCACCTCTCACCCCAATCGAGCCAGACTCTGACACTTCCTCTGTCTTTTCCGACAAGGCAAGTCCCACTTCGCCTCAGAGAGAAGGCGCGGTCGGCAAGTACTTACATGCATCTGCCTCCCCCGCCGGCCCTCGGGCTAAACCTGGCAAGTCAGCTAGTCCCACTGCACACAGCGAAGGTGAGAAAGTGCTTTCCAAGCCACCACTCTACCGCAGACCAACCACGTCACCCAAACCTGCTGGAGCCACCCCCACACCTCCCCCATCACCGCTACCTAAAGTGGCTCATGGACCTTCCAGTGATGCCGTGATTCAGAGAACGGGGGCTGCAGAGTCATCTGGTCAGGAGCACACGAACAGGAGCGAGGAACCTTCAGCGGTGGCCCAGTTGCACCGGAGCAGCCAAGGCCAGGTCCAAGTGGAAGAGGAGCCGAAGGAGAAGAGATCCTTCTTCCCCTCCATTAACATCCCCTGGAGAGAGAAGGTGGACAGAAAGACGGAGCTCATCAGGAGAGGTTAGTCTTACTTTGATCCAACCCTGTGCTGTTCAGTGCAAATCAGGAATTTCAAGTACTCTAACATATAGTGCCTCTGCATAGCTTAAAGGATTAGTTCAACATTTTGGGCAATAAGATACAAGAGTCTGAGGGGACTCACTCACTCACTCACTCACTCACTCAATCACTCTTCTTCACTCACCATCGGCAAGTAATAGGTGTAATCTGTTGGGCTGGGTATCAAACCTCAATACTTTACTTGGTACCAACAAAAATGTGAAATATTGAAAAAATTTTGAAATATTGTCAAGTGACAAAAACTGGCATGTCTGATCAGGTTTGTAATCTTATTGAAATTATCCTTTGATCTTCAAATCAAAATGGTGCCAATTTTAGACTGTATTTTACTTCGTTAAAGTTCTTATACAATTGCTGTCACCTAGACATTGTTTCATATTTGAGAACTTTGCCTAATGTTTGATGAAAAATTGAGGTTTGTAAAAAAAACATGCTTATAGTTAAAAAAAATTATAATGTTAGCATTGGTTCCAAAAGTCAGGTATCGTATTGGAACTAGAATCAGAACATTTAAAACTATATCTTGCCCTAATAATATGCCAGTATTCACATGTTACCCAGCAGAAAAACCATCACTACAGAGCCGGCACTCACTGGACAGTTCGAGGGTCCAGGAGAAGGAGGCTGGGCCACTATGGATCACACTGGCTCTGCAGAAGCAGAAGGGCTTCAGGGAGCAGCAGCAGAATCGAGATGAGCGTCGTAGCCAAAGAGAGGCCAAACTGGTGGAAAAACAAGCCAGAGATAGAGACAGTGTATGCACCTCCTCTTTAAACACTTTCTAATATTTCTTTTGACATTCGTGTCATTTTTAAGTGTTCTTCCTCTTCCTCATCACAAATCTCTTTTGCAGGTTACACTGGTGAGCCCCACAGAGAGCAGAGGAAGCGGAAGCACCAGTCCCTGTTCTAAACCTCAAACACCAGAGGAGCCCAAGAGACCCGACAGCCTCCTGGGACGATTTGACCGCCGAGAACACCTGAAAAAAGCCAACACTTTACCTAGCTCTGTCACCGGTAAGAACCTGCACGCTGAGGATTTCGGTCTAAGAATCAAAGCCATTTTTTGCTGAAAGTGACTAATGCTAAAAATTGGTGGTTCCAGCTTCTGAAATGTGAGGATGAGCTTCTTTTTGTTTTGTCAGGACAAAATAAACAATTTGAATTTGCCAAATGGGTTCTGTGAAATTGTGACAGACATTTTTCACTACTTGATGATATTATATAGACAGAATATGTACAGTATGTTCAAACTCTTAAAGGACCACTGTGGTGCGATTTAGTTGCGTTTTGTGGTGTAGTTGCAGATCACAACACCTTCACTTTAGCTTCCTGTTACAAGCGTGTAGGAGAAACTATGGTGGCCAGTGTGTGGTTTGTACTTTCTGGGCTACTGTAGCAACATTTAGATAAGAACGTCTCATTCTAAGGTAACTAATGATGACTAATGAAAACATACCTATGAATATTTTATTCCATTTCTTTCCATAGATCCTCCTAAATGTTACACACTGGTCCTTTAAATGTTTCAATAATTTGTCATTGGTTCATGTTAGGATAGAGCTCCAACAATTGGCTGATTAATCATTTGGTTGATTGACAATTAATTGTTAAGTCATATTCAACCAGTTATTACAAATATTTGGTGCCATATAATTGCTTCTCTAATGTGAGAATTTACTGCTTGAACTTGTTTTACATTATAGTAAATTGATTATTCAGGGGTGTCAAAGACATATGATGACATCACTTTGGGCTTGTTGTGAAGGGCATTTTTCATGTATTCTAATAATAATAATAAAAATAATCTCAGAACTAACTGAAAAAAAATAATGAAAATATTATCTGCAGCTAAATTTGTTTCGTTAAACATCATTTTTGTCCTTTATTTCAGTTGAGATTGCTGACTCTACACCATCGCCACCTGCTGTCAAGGAGGTGTCAAAGCGTTTCCCCTCCACTGACTCTCCGCAGGTGTCCACAGAGCCGGCCTGGCTGGCCCTGGCCAAGCGAAAGGCCAAAGCCTGGAGCGACTGTCCTCAGATCATCAAATAACACCCCACCCCAGCTTCACACTGGGCTCTGGCCTGCATTGAGACTGCACACTGCCCATGGACTCCGAAGCACCTCGAGAGTCACCATCACCTGCCCTTCCCTTCGAAAACTCACCATTAAAAACCCTCCTGACTGTGAAACAAGTAAAGCCCTCCTTCACCTTGTAACCCCACACACTGGCTGGTACTATTATGATGTTAAAGTGCGCTTCACATTCAAATATTCCAATACAGTCACACAAATATATGTACAATTGTTGCGCGCATGCACATACTGTATACAAACACACAATTATATGACACACAGAGAAGGAACATGTCGCAGTCTGGAGAGTCCCCAGCAGCCAATCACAACCATGGCTGGCCATTGCAATAGCCAACCCCAGTTTTTTATTTTTATTTTCTAGCCAACTGTGTCACCATGGTTGTAAATAAATCATTCGCTCAACAAAATGAAAGGTATAACACTTCTGTATTAGACAGGTGAAGCTCTGACATATGACAGTGTTTAATCAACAGAGGGTAACTGTCTGAAACGTGTTTTAAGGGCTACCAGTAACAATAACTCGACCTGTTGAATCTGCTTCTGGACGTCTGATGGAAGTGTTACAAGCATCTTCTCTGCCCTCATTGGTATTATTTATGTAAAGCAGCAGATTTATCTACGTATGTTGAACGATACTGTGTCTCCTCTCTGAGCCTTGTTTGTCATGTACAAAAGAAGCCTTTTTTCAGTTTTTTTTACTCATACTCTTAGCATAACAATTCTCACTGTGTCCGTGATGACTGTGATAGCTGTCAAGGAGGCTATTGTACAATTTCGCCATTATAAAGTAACCAGAATCTGTCATAATCACACGGTGGGTGCACCTAAACACAGCACTGAAGACCACAAGTGTTACTGGGCATTTACAGTGAACTGCACATTATCCTTATCCACAGCTGTGTGATGACGTAATTTGGACTTTTTGCTTTGCTAATGGAGACAGACACAACACCTGCTTGCTGTAACATACAATTTTTGTAGCTGTCCTCCTGTAACACACTTGTGTTTGTAGGCTTACGCCATCACTTCCTCGTAAATGTGATATGATCTTACATAATGTAAGCATTTCCTCTATGAAAAAAAATCTCTAGCATTCTCATTTCCTGCCACTGACTTAATGATCTGTATGTATGTAAGTATGTACTGTATGGGAGTCAAAGGCGTTACCAGAGCTTCGATCAGAAAGGGTCACTTTGTCATTTTGTTTCTAACGTCGGTCGTGCACAATAGTGTAGTGTACGCAGTGTTGTATGTAACAAGAAAAATGTTTGGTATTATTTGCACTTTTTTGTCCCACTTAGAGATATTCATGAGAAAATTCTTAAAGAGATACAAAATGTTATGAATAATGTAAATTAAATACTCATGTCTGAACTGAAAAACTGTAGCCTCATTATTTCCATTTACTCTAATTAAAGTTTTATTTCCCATAGCTCCACTCTGACACAGATATAAAAGCCATCAGTGTTTATTATAAAATCAGTGCAGAAATACATTTTATCCTTCTATGTTTGTTCTTTGACAGTCAATTTTAAACAGTACACATAGTCATTCCGGCACCCGACTACAAGAGACTGTTCCCACACCACTGGAGATGAAAACAGCTCCCCAGGTAGAGTGAATGACGCCAGCATTTCTCCATCTTGTCCATCCAGAATCCACACTGTGCCGTCTGTAGAGGCCAGCGCCACCAGAATCCCCTTCCTGCCCACAATAAAGCTGTCAAACACACATGGACTGGAGAACACCTTCCCCGTAGTCTGGAAAGTCCACACTAGAGAGCCGTCGGCACAATTCAAACAGTACAAGCAGCCGTCATGTGATCCACACAGAACCCTCTGCTGGTCTGGTGTGACACACGGAGAGGAGAAGACGGGTCCTTTTGTTAAAAACTGCCAAATCTGCAGAAAAACACAAGAGTCACAGTATTTTAAAATAACTTTGGCTAGAGTTTCAATTTGAAAAAGTTGTAATCATTCAGATTTCAATGGCAACACCCATGGTTACCGTGGTAACAGCAGGTGCAATTTGATGCTTCAAGTCCCTTAATTGTGGGAGCAACTATGTTGTCAGAAATACGACAGAAGAGTGGTAGGAAATGTTCTGTTAGCATTAGCAGTAACTGAATAAGCTGATACACACAGAGCAGTAAACAGTGAAGCTGATGTCAGTGACATCAAGTCAGAATTACAATAACGCTGGAACACACTGCATCGTTTCCTGTGAATCCCTCTTGTGTGTGAATCCAGCCTGGAAATGGCGGACTCTGCCACTAACAATAAAAACTAGTATACAGAGAGGTAATTACAGAATGTAAATACATTGAAAGGATGTTGCAAAATGCTGACCCTAAATAGTACCAGAAACCATTTCATGAAAATCTTAAGGATTATAACACAAAATTCTACACTGCTATACTTTGCCTCAAAGTCTCACATAGCACACAAACCATCAGTATCAAATTAATAATTTGTTTTTCACGGAAATTTTTATTGTTGCATTTTCAAATAAAGTGATCATCTAATAATGCTTTATACTTCTCATCATATCAGAGAATATCAACATTATTTCCTCAAGACTATACTGATTATACTAAAGAAAAATGTATGCAGAAGTCAATATTTTAAATCATGTATAGTTAGAATGACCTTTGGAAACTTTCTCCAATATTCTGTATTACTCCAAATATGCAATAGATAATAATTTTAACTGCACTTCACTGCATCAGTTTGTTTCTGTTATGATCTGCAACAAAATAACAAACCTTAAATGTTTTCATAAGTTTAATTATCTGAAATATATAAATATAATATAATATAATATAATATAATATAATATAATATTAAACCACACTTTGTATGTAAGGATAGCATCCGTTTGGGTCTTTGCGTTACTGAACTATTGGGTGAACTGAGTATTAGTAAAACACAAGGTACATAGTGGAGGTATACAGCAGCTTAAGTTGTGCTTCTCACCAGTGTCCCTGTGTTGCTGAAGCAGCAGATGTTTCCATCCACCGAGCCGATCACCACATAACCAGAGGAGCCGTTTGGTGATGAGAAGAATGGGATGTCTCTATGGTACGACCACAGGACCTCTCCACTGTCCTGAGACAGGAGAAACACTTATCAGACAGCAAAGGGCACCATATGACAAAATGTCCCTCTGTGAACAAAATGGCAAAACTGTTCACTGAAGTTTGGTATTTTCTTTACTCACAGGGTTGAGACAGAGTAGGTATCCTCCCAGTGAAGCCACGTACAGCTGTCTGAGTGCAGTGTGGAGGTAGGGGGAGGAAAAAACAGCTCCACCCCCACAGTGACGCCTCCAAACACACTGCTGAACCTAAAAACATAGAAAACATACATATTACACCTGGATTTATCTTTACCACATTTACTAGTTTAGATACATCACCCAACACAAACCTGTTGCAGGTTATTTCATATAATCAATCATTTGATAAATAAAAGGCTGATTGATGGACCTGAAAACAGGACCAATAAAACAGATAATAAATATGTAGTAATCACACAGTCATTTAGAAATCTGTGAGTTTTCTGAGTCATTAGAGCCTCAGCATCTCTTCCTGTTAAACACACTCACCTTTGGGTTCAGGGCGTACACATGTCCATCGTGTGAGCCCACTATCACCAGACCAGTGATGGGATCCACAGCAGGACAGCTCTTCACAGCGTCGCCCGTCTTAAACATCCACTGTGTCTTTCCAGATGCAGCGCACAAGAAATACACATAGCCGTCATAGCAACCTGCGAAAATCCAAAATTAAATCAGAAGGCCAGTAACACACAGTAAAATATTTTTTACACCGTATCCTGAGAGCTAATACTGACCTATAACCACGAGGTTCCCGCAGTGAGACACTGCAGCCGAGGCCTCGATTCTGTCCCCAAGGACTCGCTCCCACAGAAGGCTCCCAGTGATCAGGTCTAAAGCCTGGATCCTGTGAGAGTGGGAGCCGATGAACACTGATTTATTACCCTCTTCTGACCTCTGATCTCTTCCGTCTTGCACTAGAAGCACCGGCGAGGCATCCACGCATCTGCCTGTGTCTGAGGACCAGCTCAGACCGAGGACCAGAGCATCATCTTTATGTTTCTTACTAGAGTCCTTTTCTCCGAGTGCAACAGCCTGGAAGTTATCTATCTGTGGATTTCTGGTTTTCAGTCTTATCACCTCACCTGCTCGTCTAATAACTTTAACAGCCCATTTCTCCTCTGCTGCTGTGGACTCTTTACGTTCTCTCTTTGCTGGCACTGCAGAGGGAGCATCAGCGTGACGTGTCCTGGCCTCAGGCAGTGATGACAGGCTGTTTTGAAGCGGCGGCGTCAGTGTTACTCTCGCAACATGGCGCAGTATGTCAGAGAAGGTCCCGTCAAGTATGACCTCCAAAAGCTCCGGTGAGGACACTGCCATGGCAGTGAGGATGTCTTCACAGAGGTGTAGCGCCTTCAGAGAATCTCCTCCGCTCAACAGGAAGTTGGATTCCTCGTCAATGATCGTGTCTTCGGGAAGACCTAGAGTTTCCTGTCAAAAGGTAGTCGAGTAAAAACATAATCAGCCAACAAATGAAACCAGAAGTATTTAAATGTGGAGTAAAGTTGTGAAAAGTAGTAAAACACTGCCCCATACCTGCCACAAGGACTGAAGAGTTTGCTTTAGAGCGGTGACGTCTCCCTGTGACTCTAAACACTGTCTCTGTCTCCGGTATATTTTCATAAGTGCCGGCATGTCGACTTTGCCTGCCATAAAATAAACATAAGAATAACTGAACCAGTGAATGAACAAGTCTCCCATCAGGGGTGACTGTGTGTCTGATGCTCACCATGAGGAGTCAGGCATAAGGCCGGGACCAGCACCAACGCGTCAGGAACGCTGTAAGACGGCAGCAGCAGAGACAATCGGTTCCGGATGAGTCTGCTCAGATCTCCATCTGCACCGCCCGTCTCTCCCTGGTGCTGCTTTCCAGAAGAGAGGAGGTCTTCCCGGTGCTCAGCCGAGGCCGTTCGTTCCACATGCTTCTGAACAGATGTGAGAGGAGAGGCTGCCTTCTGGTCTCCAGATGTGGATGCCACGACAAAGGCGAGCAGTCGAATACCTTCATGCAAACCCACGGCACAGGCCTCCACCTGAGGCAGACTCAATATGAGCTGGGGGAGCGAGATACAATATTAATGCTTCACCTTCTCTTTGCCCGGAAAAATGTCAGTTCTCATTAGTGTTGTTTCCAGAAGCAGGCAGCTGTTTTCAGTGAAAAGTCTCTGATAAGCCGACTGTAGACTCTTCTCAACGCAAATGACAGATTATCAGGAAGTCAAACAGAAAGCTAAAAGTAGAGTAAATGTTAGACTTACATTTGTCAAAACTCCAAATGAATGCTAATCTTGTTTTATGTCCGCTAACTGTGTATATTGGCAAATTTTGTTCGCCACAAGAACTTTGTAAGGTGATAATATGTCAGTGTTGAGTTTACAGTGTGTTTTGCTGCCCCCAAGTGGTGATAAAATATATGAATACTGCTTCAACTTCACTCAAGGATTGCACATCTTTCTCTAGACTGACAAACATCTACAAGCATCAAAACCTTAGAGATAAAGCCCCACCAATACCTTTTTACAGCCTTTGTCAAGTAGAAATGATGTTGAATTTATTTAATGTCTTCTCTCAAACGTGAACTAAACATGAATTACAGTTATATCTAACATTTATATGTGGCATATTTTTATATGTTGGTATAATATACATGAAAAACATCTTACTTGCTGCAAGCTGTCCAAGTTAACCCGTTTACCGTGGCGTTTGATCAGCCGGTCTCTCCGTCCCAGGTAGCACAGCTGTGTGTCTTTAACATTCACCCAGTCTCCAGTAGCTCTCATTGTCCCAGGGATCGTGGTCTCCTCATCATCCAGGAGACACACTCTGTCCTCTCCACCTGCAGAAGGGATCATATGGAGTTATGTGGAAGAATATGCATGTGATTTGCATGTATGTGTGTGTCAATGAGATCTTTCTCACCTATGAACACCTGTCCTTCACCCTCTGTAACAATGCGGTCATGTTCGTCTCTTACTTCCACCACAGTGTCCATCAGAGGAGTCCCAAGAGGCACTTGCTGAGGCACCGTGCTGAAAAGCATGTAATGGTAAGTTAAGCTGTATGGACTGCAGCTTGTTTAACATGCAGATTTAATAAACAGGGTACACTCACATGTCGCTAGACTGCAGCAGAGACTCTGGTATTTTGTACAAGCAGGCCCAGCAGGACACCTCAGTAATACCATAGATATTGTAGATGTTGGTTTTATTGTCCTCGTGCTTCCAGCTCCTCAGCAGAGCCGGCGAGGGGCAGGCCTCTCCGCCCAGAGCCAACACCCGCAGTGACGAGTCTGACGACAGCACTTCCTGTTTGAGGATGCGGTGCCCGAAGCGGACGAGCAGTGTAGGTGTGACCTGCAGAAAACAAGAAAATAGCACCTTACAGTGTACGAGAAGTCTTCCAAGAGAAACAGTTTCTTGACACGTGCCTGCAGGACAGTTGTCTTGTGATCCTTGAACAGCAGTTGAGCCAGTCGACTGGGCATTTTCTTGATCACAGTCGGAATAATGAGGAGCTGAGCCCCGCACGACAAGGCCAGGAAAATATCCACCACAGAGGGGTCAAAGGTTAAGGGCGAAGCGAGCAAAACCACATCATCTGAACTCATCTGAAACAAAGATCTGAGCCAATAGAGGTGCAGCTGTTATGAATATGTATCAAAATAACAATTTAGAGACCAATTAAGACAAAAAAAAGGTACAAACACTCACCTCAGATGCAGTATATTGGGGAGTATACACTTGTGTGGCACCCTTACAATCTTTGGAAGGCCAGTTGTGCCAGATGTGTGTAGCACATATGCCAAGTCGGTGTGTCCAGCCTCCTTTAACCCTGCAGCTGTATCACAGAGACCAGCACCATCTGCTGTCTGAGCTCCGGTTTGTTCTGGTGCTCGTTTGTGCTCAGCGACCGGCAGCAGCTTGATTTCTGTCAGGGTTAGTTTGAACTTGGGAAGCACCACACAGACTGCCACAGACGTGTGTTTGACGAGAGCTGCCTGGAATCGCTTGAGGAGGAAAGAAAATGAAAGTAAATATTCATACAAAGCAAAGACAAAGACAGAAGACTCTGAATGGGATTTAGAGGAAACATTATAAAAGGCTCAGTTGAGGCTTCAGTGTGGCTATAAAATTGCTTTAGTGGATACATAAATACAAAAAAGGATAACTAAAGTACACACTGCAGAAAAAATATTCTCTCTGCTAAAAACTCTGGGTTTTGATGTTTTTATGCTTTGGCTGAGGCCGATAGTTTCTCTGCACATCAGTTGGTTTTAAGTAAATTGATTAATTTCATTTTTGTGAGAGAATCTGCACCATTAAAGTACTACTAACTAGTACTACTATAGTGAGCCTTGTATTATGAACTTTTTTCAAACATTTTTTGTTAGTCATATAACCACAATAGCAGTGGTTGGGTTCTGGGTCTGTGCCCTGTAATAAAGCCGTTCAGTCTGCTGTGTGCTCTGCACATAATGGGAACTTGGAAGCGACAGGGTATACACAATGCACACAGAGCAGGTGGTGGTTCATGGTGGATGTCCAACTTGGCTTAACAGATGTGTTTTGTCCACTACTCTGACAGGTAAACCCGGCCTTCATTTTGTCTGATGTTGCTGGGTTTCACACTCAGATCCTAAGAGAATCATTTCATTTAGCTGTGTTTTTAATTTTGAACTTGAACCTGAGCATTAAATGTATATAATAGTAAATATTCAACCTGCAGCATGTCAGTCTTCACAGCACAGTAGTGGAGGCCGCACTGGTTCATGACCCTGGCAGAGAGGAGTCCTGGAGCTTCTGGGTCCAGGGGGACATAAGCAGCAGGTGACTGCAGGATCCTGGCACACAGCACAGGACACTTAACTCTCCTTCATATCACACAGCTCCCACTCACCAAAGACATTGCTCATTTGATATAGCACGGGAATCCAAGCTTGTTTGGACCACACTCACGTGTACAAAGTTCAGTGACAACAGCAAACTCACCCCAGAATCCAGACAGGGAGGAACAAATCATCAGAACAATACAGTCCAATCACGCCGTTGTTAGCAGAGCAGCTCTTCCGCAGAGTACGAGCCAGTTCATGTGCCAGTTCATCCGCCAGTTCAACCAGTTCTCTGTACAGCAGAGAGGCCGGGCTCCCCGACAGCGCCCCGCCGTCATAAGTCACAGCGGGTCTGTCGGGGTGCAGAGAGGCTGCGGAGGCCACCAGCTGCTGCAGTGTCCGCGCAGACATACCGATGAGACGTTCACGGACCACACGCTCATCCTCTGCGGGAGCCGATGCCGGACAAAAAATAACAATTCATATTTGAAATGTTACACTGCTCAAATCAGACGAAGGAGGTTTTGTTTACATCCGAAAGCAACACGGAGACTCACGTTGGACCTACTATTTGTCCCATGAAGATGACGTTGCAGAAACTAAATTACGCCCCACTAATGGCCATTTCAACTGCTTCTGTAATGTTCGTTCACTCTCTTTAATAGTCATAACAACAATAAACAAACCGAAAACTTTGGCTTTTGGGGCTATTTTGTTTAGTAATTTGCCTAAACAGATCGACGGGAAGACGTGTGATGTTTCCGGCGTGTGTTTAATGTTTTGTCTGTCAACTTAAGGCTGTCAACTGAATGTTTTTGCATATCACCATGTTGACATGGGACACATTCTCTCCACAATATCACTGATACAAATGTGTAGCTCTACCATTAAAAGTTAAAACCTTGGTGTTTTTTAAATAGGCTACATTTTGACTTTCAATTGAAATAATCAAGTGCGCTATCTGAGGAAGCACGAGTTCCTTGGCGCCGTGAAAGCACCACGTACACCCTGTCCAATCACGTGTCTGTATTTTATGGCGATAGAAGTTTGAACCTAAAAGCGCCGTTTGTTTGAGACCAGTTAACTTAACGTTAACTGCTACTTTCAACTGTCAACATCGAGAAAACATCTTATGTGCACTATGGACCTGAACTTTGACAAGCAAATGCGAGACAATAGTCTTAACTACAAAATGTCTCTGGATCGAATAATAGAGAAGGTGTGTTAGTGAGGCTGTCGGCTAATGTTACTGTTGGCATGGAAGTGAAGTAGCAGACGTTAGCTTAAGCTAATTTAAAGATAAACTATGAAGATGTGACTCAGCAACTTTGTGCCATTTGTTTTCAACAGTATTCAAAGATTCAGTACCAAGACGGGGCGATAGAGGTGGACCTCGACAACACAAATACCCGAAGTAAGTTAGCTACAATGCTATTATAACATTGTTTCTGTCCACGGCTCAATACAAGAACTACATTAACAGATGTGACAGTACAGAAATAAAATAAACCGTGTGCCATTTGAAAAGATGAAAACAATAAGTAGTTAGTCACAAGTAACGTGTTGTCTTTTTTAGTGCTGAAACAATTTGATTAATCGATTATCATATCATGTGTCAGGTTTGAATGTTTTTCTGTGTTTAATATTCCTGCAATTTACCTAAAAATAGGTTTTCGTAGAACGACATTGTGGGCAATTTCACCAGTTTCTGAATACTTTTAGACTAAATTAGTAATTACTATAAAAAATTGCATTCCCTAACTAACTAACTAACAGTCAGTGATTTGTTTCCATCTCTGCACTTCAGTAGTTGTCATGTGGTCTGGTCTCATTGTGTCTTTTCTGTCTTGACTCCCTGTATGATGAAGCAATTGAACGCTACATGAAGCTGTCAAAAACAGAGCTGAACAAGCTGGAGTCAAAGGTTTGGGTCGCTATGAATTAATATATTTCGTAGACACAAAATTATAGTGGGGTTCCTCCTCAGTAAATTCAGATATGAAATACATGCACAGGTATATATAACTTATAATCAAACACTTGTCCTCTCCTCAGAGCCTGACAGATTTAAGAGACGAGTCATTGAGATGTAAGTATCAATAACCTTAAACCAGAGTAGAAATTTACAGACTTTTTAAATGTTATTAATCTGATTACTTTCATGTTTTATTCCGCTGCAGCCCAGGACATTACAGGAGACTCTCAGGTAAATATACCATATTTATTTCAACAGTTCTTTGTTGAATATGTAGTATATCTTGAATTAATTATTTTCTGTTTTCAACAGTTGGACTTCATGCTTCAGGATGGTGGAGCTGATGAGACGTGTGTTTCTAGTATTTCCTCTTCCATGGATGATGATGGTAAGAACAGGAAAGCAATAGGCAAAACGTTTTAAACACAACATGGGTTGGACAAGCTATTGCAGGAATTTAAATTAAAAAAATGTCTAACGTTTTTTCCCCCCTTTTGCGCCCAACAGGGTCGGCTAGAAGTGACACAACTCAGCTGACTGTGAGCTCACTGGATGAAAGCCGGAGAAACCTTTCTGAGACGGAGCTCCAGCCCGAAGACCAAGATGAGGAACTGGAAATGTCTCTGGGTAGTCGCAGCGGCTCTTGGGTGGAGCTCTACCCCAGCATGATCAGTCGAATAGAGAGGGCCTGGCACCGGCAGCATGTCTCTGAGGCTGCTGGCTCTGTGCTGAGGAGGTATCGTCGATGGCGCCAGCACCCAAATAGAAGCTATCTCAACAACACCTTCACTGTCACGTTGAGACACGGCAACCCAAAGAAGATGTTGAGCGAGACCCTGCTCAGGGAGACTTCTAACAGTCCTGTGAAAATGCAGTTCATGAGGACTGAAGCAACCCCCCGGTCTCCTTTGCAGATGGTGACCATGAATCCGCAGGATTGGCAAGCACAGCAGCAGTCTCCTGGGAGGGTGAGAGGCTCGCTGAGGAGAGAGCCGCGCCAGCCTGTCCTCGCCATGGACCTCTCCGGTTGCTCTGAGACCACTAAACCGAAAGAGATCTCTCTGAATGAGACCTTCAATGTGTCCCAGCTGGGAGAACGGCCCTCCTCTTACACTGTCAGTCCTTCACGACCTTTCTATCCCACTGCAAAAGCATCGTTGGATGTGTCTCTCAGGTCTAAAAGACTCTCTCTCGCCGCACACTCACCGCAGACTGACGGGTGCAAAGAGAGACCAGACGTCTACGGCTCACCAGTCAGGCAGAGTCCTTTAAAAGCAAGGATGATGAGCGGCCTCAGTAGGTCACCTCATGCCTTTTCCAGAAGCCCGAAAGCACATTCTGTAGAAAACTTCTCCAGAGAGTTTAGGAGGTCCAGATCAATGTCCACTTCCCTTTCCTCCCCTCCCCAAAGGCCAACTGTGCCACTGAGGATGCTTGACCCTCATGACTTCCATCATTCCTTCCAGTCACAGCTGCCTTCACCTCAGTCGGCCACAGCAGCAGAGGGTCGTCATAGGCTGCGCCGGCACCTTTCCTTCGACTCTTCCCTGCCGTCATTCCACGTCTCCTACTCGCCAAAGAAGCTTGATGAGGACTTCATAAAACTCTACCACAAGTTCGTCTGCCAGAACAAATCATCGTTCTTTAATGGGGCTCCCTGCCGTTACTGTGCTAGAAGCTCCGAGGCCAGCAGAGGCCACTCTTCCACAGCTCTGGCCGCCCTCGCCTTATCGCCTCATCGCTCCCTCCTGAGGAAGCGCCATAGGGAGCTAGGCTGGGACAGCCACCCCCAGTCCAAACGCTCCAGGGACGAGTACTGTGCATCCCGGCCAGGCTCCATTAGCCATGAGAAGGAGATGCTGAGACGACGTCTCTGTCAGTCTGAATATGAGCAGTCTCATGGTGGCCTCGCCTACAGCCCCAGTAAATACAGCATGCTTCAAAGATTCAGCACCGAGCAGCGCTCTGCAGGTGCGCATCAGGAAACCTGGATGAGTCAGGGCCGCCGTCTATCTGCAGCTGAGTTTTCCAGCCTGGGTGAGCCTCCTCTATGAAGTCCTGTTAAATTAAGCATTTTGTGTAAGTCTTTTATCACTGATTCCTTCAATCTTTTTGTTTCATCCAACAGGAGGTTCATTTGAGAGAAAAATGACTGACGGCTTCTCCCCCAGGTAATTATAATGAATTATGAAGTATGTGCAGGTTTTGTTTTCTGGCCTCCCAGCTGTTCTCGTTCTCACCCTCTCTTCTTCCTGACAGAAAGTGGTGTTGAACAGGGATTACACCAGCCCATCCACAGAAGTTCTCAAACAAGTATCATTGTACATTACCGTCATGTAACAAATATCAATGTGAAAGTGTAGCAGCATGAGGGCATTTCTTTGTTTCAGCTGTACAGTGTGAGCTCAGGAAACTATTACTCAACTGCAATTGTTGACATGTTAAAACTCTAAGTGGTTGTTTGTCCAATTGCTTTCCATTCTACTTCCTGCTTGGAGATTTTATTTTTTACAAGTACTATTAAAACCATCCATTTGTTTATCGTTTACACTCATGTATGTAGTTCTCTTGCTAAATCTTTTACTTTTTGTGCTGTGGTGAATCATTACTTAAGTGAATACAGCTTCATGTTTATTTCTTGTAAAATTTGTATATTAAAATAAAATTGTGTCAGT